TTTATTCCAATGCAATGTTATAAAATTCCTCAGCATAAACCGTGAATTTTGAAACTGTCAGCAATTAATTAAATCGTTTTGTAATTCTTTGACGACTGATGAATAGTGTTCTCAACTTTTTCGAATTTTAAGACCTTCCATGTGAGCATCAACTTATCAGAAGACAGCAGGATCCTTCAGTTCTCTTAACTTTAAGTAAAAATACCTGCAATTTTATATAAAAAATATATGAACATTTGTAAAAGTGGAATATAGAACATTTTTATTGTGGTTGGGCGTTTGTCAGTTGAAGAAATAATAAATGTCGTATATTTTTAGCCCACCAAAACAATCAATCAATCGTTCGAGAACAAGTAGCCATAACAGCAAACATGCCTTATTGCGCCACAATATAGTTTTATATAGTGTGTCCGGATGAAAGATATCCAAAATAAAAAAAAATTATATCTCGGAAACTAATTGTCATACACATATCCACTTTATATCATCGGAAAAGAAAACTCTGAAAGTTATTTTTTTCATACCCAGCTTACGCGCATACGCCGCCATATTTCTGTCACTATGTTAGAAATCACTTGGACAGAGAAATGGCTGGGAGATAGATCGGCCGAAGTGGACCAATCGCTTGGCCTCCTAGATCGCCAGATTTAACCCCACTGAATTTTTTCTTGTGCGGTTATTTGAAGAACATTGTTTACCAGGTTAAGATCAACGACCTTCAACACCTGAAAGCCCGCATAAGGGACGCTGTGGCTACGGTAACACCAAACATGCTTCAAGTCTGGATATTTGTCGTGTCACCAAGGCAGTCCACATTTAAATTTATTGAGAAAGTTATATACGCAGAAAAAAACTTTGATAGTTTCCCTTTGTAATGGAGTAACCCATTAATGTGTATAATAAATTCTTTCTGAGATATAATGATTTTATTTTTAATACCTTTCATCCGGACACCCTGTATTTTTCGTCAACAGTCACAACACGCTTGCAGTTGTTCCACTCTTATGGCGTAAATATGCAAATACTTATATATATATATATTAACAAGAACACTTTGAAAGTCAGTTGACAAGCTAACTGGTGCACTTGGTATTGAGATATGAACTGCACATCCTTTCTATTTATACTTTTCTTCGCAGAATCTCGCAGTTTTCTAAAAAAATATTATTATTTCATCTTCACTTGTTGTCACCACCAAAGTTGCAATTATTATTGTCAGTCGAGAAGGCAATGAGTCTATCCAATAAACTGAATCTGTCCAACACTTTGAAGATCTGATCACTGGCCAGAACAGACACGTATTTCTCCAGGTAAATCAATGAATTCTAATAACCGAGCCTGTACTCCTTCTGGTAAGTAGTATTTTATTAAAACTGGCACCGATTTTACATCAACTTAATTGGAAATGCCAACTAGAACAGAAATATTTTTAACAAGTACATTTCTTATCGTATAGCTCCTTTATTATCTTGGTGGTACGGTCCATCGATCGAAAACTTCGATAGTGTTTGCTGTATGATAAGCGAACGTAGCTTCAGTAGTTGCTAGCCGTTCTTCTCTGTCACCCATACTCACATTTCTTACGTAACAACTCGTAGTTATTTTCTCACTTGAATCTCTGCAGTTCTCCTTGTTTGTGTTTCTTGGGTCTGATGTGATTCACATCTGAACGGCCCCCACGTCCAATGCTAAACTGTGCGTTACATACCATATACTCTACTTTCTCGGTTTTTAATGCCGCGTCATTGTGTACTTCGGTTTCCCCTGCCAATCTTCATTCCACCAATTGCTCCACAATCACCCTCACCTATCATCTGGGGCTGGTACAATAGGCCAGAAGTGGCCGCAGTACAAGGGACTTAGTACCACCCCAATAGTATTATAAAAAAAAGGCCGCACCGTAGCTCAAGCGGTTAGTCGCTGGCTTTCCACCGCGAAGAACCGGGTTCAAAACCGAGTCTGGTCAAGTGGGATTTGTGGTGGTAAAGTGGCGCTGGGGTAGGTTTTCTCCGAGTACTTCGGTTTCCCCTGCCAATCTTCATTCCACCAAATTCTCCATCATGATAATCACCCGGGGCAGGTACAATAGGCCAATCAGTGGCCGCCGTGCCGAGTGGACCCAACTGGACTCCATCCCCTACTATGCGAATTAAAAAAAGAATCTCGGTTTTTATGTTGATGGCTCTCATCTAAAAATGTTTTTTTTTCTTAATACTATCTGTAAACAAACATCTTCTTTTGGACATTGTTGTTTATTAAAATCACTTAAAATAAACTTCTATATATCTTACTTACTTACTTATGGAGCTGAACCCTTCTTGAGGAGAAGCCAAAACTGCAGCTACTCAAGAATTTCCCAGCATTTTGTGGAACTCGAAGTTTCATTACCGTGTTCACAAGAGCTCTCCACTGGTCCCTATCCTGATCCAGATCAATTCAATCCATACCATCCCATCCCATCCTATCTCTCTAAGATCCATTTTAATATTGTCCACCCACCTACGCCGTGGTCTTCCCCAGTGGTCTCTTTCCGTCTGGCTTTCCCACCAATATCCTATACGCATTCCTCTTCTACCCCATTCGTGCCACATGCACTACCCACCTCATCCTCCTTGACTTGATAATTCTAATTATACTTGGAGAAGAGTACAAATTATGAAGCTCCTCATTATGCAGTTTTCTCCAACCTCCTGCCACTTCATCTCTCTTCGGTCCAAATATTCTCCTCAGCACCCTGTTCCCAAACACCCTCATTCTATGTTCCTCCCTTAATGTCAATAATACTTCAACACTTCTGCTTGCAGTTTACCCCGACTCACTAACACACAATGTAAACCACTACATAACCTCACGCGTATATCAAGCGTTATTTCGGACACATGAGGTCGACAATGGATTTAAGCATCATAGTGCGTCCTTCGAACTCCATATGAAGAAATTCAACAATGCATGAAGTGAAAGAAAGAAAACATAAATATTGTTTTTATTGGATGACAGATTTAAGTATTTAAACTGTATTGGTGTTGTAACCCATCCTAATCCTTCCAGCCGCACTATGGCCCTGGGGTCGACTAAGCCCCTAACAGAAATGTGTACCAGGAATTAATTAAATAATTTCCTGGGGAGTAAAGCGTGGCCGGCGCGTAAGGCTGACAACCTTACCGCCATCTTTGAGCCGATTGTCTAGATAATGTGGGAACCTCAACGTCTCACAACCCTATGGGTCTTCAAGGCCTATTACAGGGATAGCTTTACTTACTTTTTACTTTTACCCATCTCCTCACCAGCTCGGACACATACACATAAATAGATGAGTTCGTCAAATAGAAATCAAATTAAATAATAACGTACAATATAGAAATGGACCTCCGAGTACCATGTCAACCGTCTGTGTATACATGTCCGCATAAGCAACGCCATATATCATTACGATTAAAACTACCTACTTTGAAATATAATTATATGTACAGCTCTTAACTGTACTTTGATTATGTAACTAGTTCATTTTAAGGCTTTTACTTACATTGTTACTTTATATTTTATGTTATTGTATACTATTTGAAAAATCTAATACTACATCGTGTAATTAGCACGCAATTCAATAGCTAAAAAGTTATTATGTGTATTTACCTGATGATGGCCTCCTGAAAGCAGGAACATGTAGCAAAGTACTACTTGAAACTACATACATATATTATTAATTTTAGTGTTGTGACGGCTTTCAATAAAGAAATGTATAATACACAAAAGGATGCATTCACTGAAAATTATGTATTGCTAGCATTAATGCTATGAAATAATACTTACACAGGAAATTGTAAATTTAAAGTTCGCTAACAAAAGTAAATTCTTCTTAATCTAAGGTTCGCTGTAAATTAAAAGAAGGGGCATATTTGCTTCCGGACAACATTTTTGGGGGTGCCGGGGCATTGGTTGTAAAAATGGGGCTGTCCCGGGCAAAACGGGACATACGGACACCTTACAAGATCAACTCATTGGATGCCTTCGGAGTCGGTGGAACATGTAGCACCTATTGAAAACAAAAAATTTATGCCAAAAAAAACTCAACTGAAGGGTTTGAGGTGTTATATTGGTTGATAACACTGTAAAGCATGCTAATGGAATTGGTTACGAATATGAAGGCTCAATTGAGCTGTCTCAGAACTCAGTCTAAATGCGGACGTTTCTAATTACGGGGGTGATTCCTACATCAGCTGCAAAATTATCAACTGTGCATTGTGTTACATATTTGCAGCAATAATTATAATGTAGTTTAAACATAACTCGGGCCGAAGGTTAATGTACTCAACAACTGTGACAGTTCTAATTCTTGCGTCTTGTTGCTTTGGTAACCAAAAAAAAAGTAAAAAACTAAAGCTATCCCTGTACCAGGCCGTGAAGGCCCATAGGGTTGTGAGACGTTGAGGGTCCCACATTATGTTGACAATCTGCTCAAAGATGGCGGTAAGGTTGTCAACCTTACGCGCCGGCCGCGCTTTACTCCCCTGGGAAATTATTTAAGTAATTCCTGGTACTCATTTCTGTTAGAGGCTGAGTCGATCTCAGGGCCACAGTGGGGCTGGAACGATTAGGTCAATTGAAAACAATCCAATGACCTCATTGGGACTTGAACCCGCGACCTTCAGGCTTGTAACATAGTGCCTCAACCAACTACGCTACCGCGTGCCCCCTTATTGTTTTGGTATATTTAATAACATGCACAATAAAAAATTACGCCCTTCCCTCCCTCCCCACTCTCCCTCTATGTTCCCTACTTATTTAGTAGCATGTGTTACTTTAACATACTATGTTCGTTTAAAACGAACAGAAATTTATTTCGAACATTTAAATCTGTTGATTATTCAAAGACCTAGCTCATCAATGTAAGTCAAAATGCACATAATGATGATGATGATAACAATAACAACAATAATAATAATAATAACAAAAGTGTAACATTTTCTGCTATCAAATTTCGAAATGCTATTTTTAACACTGACCTTCGTTCTGCTGACAAATTCGGGTAGATGATCTGCTGTCCAAGTCTTCTAAGGGGGCGTGCCCGGTGGCTTCTTCAGCAGACGATGAAATTGCTGTAACAGTATTCCCGCCTTGGGCGGTATATATTCCTGAACCAATCGAATTGCACGACCATGTTAAGATCAATTTGAACGTTAACGCAACAATAACAACAATAATTATTACAGTCAAATACAAAATAAATACATTTGATTTATCGCTAAGTTCGCTTATATTCACATATTCATAGGTTATAGTTTGTGGTAAGCGAGCAATACCACGAAAAATGTCGGCAAAACTGTTACCGACTAAATCACTATTACAACAGCTACTGGACATTGAATTCACACGAAATTCACATTCAATATATTATTGATTATGTACCACACAGCTTCTAGTTTCCTTTCACAAATGTTATGAAAACTATCTTTCCTTTACCGCCTATTTACTAGCCTTCAGTAGCTGCCGTTTAACCCCCAAGCTCTGCTCTGACGGAACCCAAACACGACGACGCATGCCAGTACTGGCAACATTGGGAAATGAAAAGTAACTAAATGTAACACGACCTCTACACAACGCAGTATCTACGAACAGATCTGATAATAAGAATCGCCTGTTTACCGATGTAAATGAAGTTAATTAGAACTGTGGGAAATTTATTTTGTGTTCTGCCAAAGACGCCGGTAGGTTAGCATGACAACAACTATTTTGAATGAAACCGAAAGTCATTGCGGTTCATTGACACTCGAAAAGTGTCGTAGAACAAGAAAGATAAAAATAAAAGGAAAAGAATCCTCACTTCGAAGGCTTGGAGTTTATTCATTAGAACATAAAAATAGATGATTCATAAATTTAAATCGTTAAGCATCCATCTATCAGCAGTATTAAAGTCTGCTGTGCTACTATCATAGTTCTGCTTTCATTACAATGCATTCGACTTACACTCGTCTTACCCATCAAAAAAGGAACGTATTTGTTTTGTAATTTGGGGGAAATATTCGGTAATCTATATTTCGAAACAAGTACAATTGTGTTTCATTCTTTGATTTAATTTGTGTCGGTTATTAATCGTATTAAGCCGTTTACGGATATTTTATGACTCCCTCCATATTCAGCATGGATTAATACATTTTAAAACATTTTTTTTAAGTTTTGGTACCAATAATTGCTGTATGTCCCGTTCTCACTTCAAATCCCTTACTGAAATCCTTGTGAGGCAAATGTGTGTCTCGCCCCTTTACCTGTTGTTGACCATGATCTACTGAATCAAATGCAGTGTAAAATAAGACAGGAATAATTTCGCATCATCAAGTGGAAAGCAACCGAGAGAAAGCGACCATGACTACTGCGGTAATCGTATAGCTGGAATTTACCTGGTACGACTGAGGAAAGCCATGAATATTGCAAAGTGGGAGTAAGCGTAAATGCAAAACCTGTGATCGCTTATTTAAATGCTCACCAAAACCTTCTTTTTCACAAAATTATGGTAATAGAATCATGGTGATATAACCATTGCAACTAATGTGGAGGAAATGTTATCACCAATTGCAGGTCAAGATAAAATTTAGTTTCCAAGCTTGCATCTGATTTCTTTTCTTCGTACAAGGTCGCGAATAACACATGTAGCTACGTCGATTTTAAACCAACAGGTAAAATAGAAATGAATAGAAGGACGGGAGAGAAAGTTTGTGCAATCTTTTCCTGAGACTACAAAGTAAACAAACGTTTTAGGGCCACTGAGCGAGCAAGTAAGAAGAGCGGCAAGCAGTCTTAATCTTGCTTTCGGTTTCAAAACCAGGCAGTGGATATGTCACCATGCCTCGTAGCTTTTCATCAGTCTAAGAGAATGTTGGGATGGTAACTTACGTAAATTTTTGCATTGAAGTTTCTCTTAACTTCCCCCCCCCCTACAATTAAACATTTATTAGCCTCTGAAATAACATAAATTCATGGAACGGAATTCTGATCCAGAAATTTTCACTGGGCTACCTAACCTTACAATCACGAACTATGTTTGGAATGTGATCTCGTTTCTGTGCTGACCAAATTACGGCCTTGGCTATCAGACGTGATCATGGTGTATTCTTTCTATTAACTCTAATATGATCCATGTCTTGAAAGATTTTAGTACGCTTTATATTTGTCTTCAAGATAAGAAAGTGTTAGAAACTGAGGAGTGAGAAAATATGAGGCTGATTTAATGGCACGAGAACGTTCGCGAGAAAGTCCTTGTTGTTACAGAACCCAAAGAGTCTTTGCCAACATTTTATTCCTTGGGCGCTACAGCCCCAATTTGGGCCTTGGCTTACCTCCATGAAACTCTCCGTTTCACTTCGGTTTACTAGATTTTAGAATTTCCACCATTTCAAACCCTGGAAAAGGATCGTTATTGCAATCCGCTTCAAATATTCTCTGCACAACCACTGGCCGGATCTATTCTGGATCGCATCCATCTCCAGTCCAATGATACTAGTTGCTCTTACCGTGAGGATAAAGCGGCCAGAACATAAATCTCGCCAGTAACCTCTATCTATTCAGATATGATATAAATATTATTTATTTGTGGTTTATTTAACTACGCTGTCAGTAGTCCAGAATCTATCGTAGAATAATTGGATGATTAATGAATGAGGAACAGGAAAGGACTTGGAAGAAAATAGTAGTGGGATAGTTTGAGGGACAATCCCGGCATTTGCTTGGAGGGACTGAAGAAACACACGAAAAACCAAAGTTAGGAAACCGATGACCCGATTGTGATTCGAACATGGCAATATCCGAACAGAAATCAGTAGCTTTAGTGCTTGAGCCAGCTTAATGTGCGTTCTAGCATAAATGCGTCCATCTTAAATCAACGCACCTTGTTATGACGTCTGTCAAGAAGTGCGCGCGTGCCTCGTATGTTGGGATCTATTGGTTTCTTTCTATTTCTGCAACGGACCTTACGACGTGCGTTACAACGGACGCATTTTGTGCTCTCGTGTGGCCCCAGCCTTACTGTCTGGCTGAAGTACAGAATGCGTAGATGGTCCCTAAGTCCTCCTCTACGGACCAGTGTAGGCCGTATCTTGTGCACGCAAAAGGCACGGAAATAAAGTTCTGTGTAAGTATGTCTGAATTTCTCACCGGCATACAAATACCGTAATTATACTGAAATTAGGACCTACTGAATATCTACTAACAACAATGGCCAACGTCACTAATTATGAAGCACCTTCGTTTCCATTCATTCATTCATTCATTCATTAATGGTTCTACAGCCTTTTTTGGGCCCTGACCACTTTTTCAGTTTCGTAATCCTATTCACAGTCGGTAGGACTTCTTGAACGGTGGGGATCAGCCTGTCGCAAGGTCTCTTCCTACTCACAGGATATCACCAATACAGGGTACACGCACAGACATCCATGCCTCGAGTGGGTTCCTAACCCACGACCCCAGTGTTGGAGTGTGTGAAGATAGTTTATACCTCAGACGACGCGGCCACCGTCATCGGCCTTCTTTTTTTATAATAGATGAAATTACGTATATACGTTCATTCTATAGTGCGCAGACAATTTGCCATTGTTTCTCTTCATGAACTTAACACTCAAACGATCATGCGTGCTACACGGTCTGTCTTCGAATGCTCGGTGGTGTGTTCTGTATTTATGTTTCTTGTCTAGGGTCAGCTTCCCACCCAGGGAGTTCTATCATATTTCTTTTAAAAAAAAGTATTCCACACTGTAGCACCCTACTGCCTTTGGCTGAGTGAGTCAGATTTAACCGTCACTAATATGCGACACATCAGTGGTATTCAGTTCTTGTATAGCATAAATTGGTCGTCAAGTTAATTAGTTAATTAAACATGTTTCAACTACCATGTAGTCATCTTCAGGTTACATTGCACTGTGTGTCCTACCAAGCAGGTGTACGTTGCCAGTTTTCTTTCTGGTAAGTATCCTCATTAATTTTCAAAATTAAATTAAAATTTTCAGAATAATAATACGGACCCACCAATAGTCATATTTAATGCTCGAAGTCAACATTAAATTATAACTTTAATTTTAATCTTAATTCTAATTTCAGTTTTTAAATTCATGTCTCTTCACACCAAAAAAAACAAAACTTTATATTTTTCCAATATAGAACACGGAAAATTCGCACCCTCACAACGTTTACTATTATAAATATATAAGATATTTTTTCATGTATAAATTATAGCTACTTTACTAAATTTAATATTTATGTTTGCAAAGGTTCATGAGCTGTCACCATAAGCCCGGAAGTTAAATATAAGTTTGAATTTCACGCGAATGAAGCTAGATGCATTGAATGAAAGTATAGTGAAGACAACCATCTGTTCTTCCCAATGTTACATCTCTGAACCTTCTGAACGGGTTTCAGTTAAATATTGATATTGGACATTTACGCTAAAAGGTGTCAACCAGCTTACTGTCACGTGTAAAAGGTTTGCGTGACTAATAACAATGGGTTATGGATTTGATGATTGGAGTTATTAGCACTTATTTACAATTGCAACCAATTCTGACAGCTCACAATCAATGACTGACTAAGACTCGCTCCAGTCCTGGCTGGACTACGAGTGTCTGCTCTTCCACTGTGACGAATGACGAACGAACAATTCCTGCGCACACCCTGAGATGCCTTGAACGACGACTATCTGAAGAATCTCTGACTGCTACATGGATCTCTAATCTGCTGAATTCAAGGTCAAGGTCATGTTACAACTGACGGTCAGTCAGTCTGTCTGTCTTGGTGTCGAGCCCCAGCTGAGGCTCATGACCAGATATTTCTTTTGAATGAAAGTTACTGTCCTGTCCATGTGGGGCGCCCTCTCTGACGAGAGGTCGGGTCTGTCATTAATCTGCTGAATTCACGAATGCACTGCCTTTTATACCAGCCACGCGGCTGGGATCCAAGTCACCACGTCGAACGGGTCCTCTGTTCTGTTGTGTTGCCATGGGAATGCCTATGTTAACATTCGTTGCTGCCTAGCAATTGGTCACCTTCCGTCATACACTTTTAGCTTGTATCGCTCCAGTATGATTCCTACTTTATATGAATCTCAAATCGAAATTCTTTTTTGACTTACTTATGGCCGCACCGAGGGTCCCGAAGATGGAGTTGTTATTTCGCAACCCTACAAACGCTTCTCAGAACTTTATTACGCCCTACATATTTCCGCTTATTTTACCCTGGTAATTTTCCGAACAGGACAGTCACAATCGCGTGTTTAAACCTAATTAATTTATTGATTCGCAGAATGTTTTACCACGCTATATGAATTGCAGGGCTTGCAAACAGCCGAGAGAGGCAAGAAAATCCAAAGGTAAACTGTCTCTCTGTTTAATTAACCATCATGCCAAGAATATGTATGGGGGCGTGAAGATGTAGCTCCACACATTTTTAACCCTCGGCACTAGATGAAGGTGAGTGCCAAGCTTCACAGCCCATCCGCTTTAAAAGCGGGAAAGAGCTCAGATAATCACCTAGTAGGA